GTAGAAGTAGTAGTGATAGTAGTAGTAGTAGTAGTAGTAGTAGTAGTAGTAGTAAAGGTAGTAGTAGTAGTAGTAGTAGTAGTAGCAAAAGTAAAAGTAAAAGTAGTAGTAGTAGTAGTAGTAGTCGTAGTAGTAGTAGTAGTAGTAAGAGTAGTAGTAGTAGTAGTAGTAGTAGTCGTAACAATCGAAATACTAATATTAGTAGTAATAGTCGCGACAATGGCAGTAGTAGTAGTAGTAGTAGTAGTAATGCTAGTAGTCGTAGTAGTAGCAGTAGTAGTAGTAGCAGCTGTAGTAGCAGTAGTAGTAGTAGCAGCTGTAGTAGCAGTAGTAGTAGTAGTAATAATAGTAGAAGTACTATTCGTAGTACTGCAGGGAGTCGTACTAGCAGTAGTAGTAGTCGTAGTAGTAGTAGTGGTTGTAGTAGTAGTAGTAGTCGTAGTAGTAGTAGTAGTAGTAGTAGTAATAGTAGTGGTAGTAGTAGTAGTAGTAGTAGTAGTAGTGGTAGTATTAGTAGTAGTACTAGTAGTAGTGGTAGTAGTAGTAGTAGTAGTAGTAATAACAGTAGTAGAAGTAGTCGCCGTAGTAGTAGCAGTATTAATAGTAATAGTAGTTCTAAAATTACTAGTCGTAGACGTGGTCGTAGTCGTAGTAGTAAGAGTACAAGTAGTGAGATAAAAAGCTAGTAGTAGTAGTAGTAGTAGTAGTGGTAGTAGTATTAGTAGTAGTAGTAGTAGTAGTAGTAGTAAAAGAAAAAATGACAGTGGTGTTCGTAGTCGTAGTAGTGGTGGTGACAGTAGTCGCAATAATGACCGGTGCACGCAGGACACACAATAGGTGAATGGGGTCCTCGGTCGCGTAATTTACGTACTCGCCTGTTTCGTCCTGACACCATCAAAGACGGCCCAATGGGTTGTTCCTAAGATCGTCCCAAGACGGTTGATGAGGCTCCCTAGAGAGCCCCATGACAGCCTCAGAGGGCTCTAAGAGGGGCCCAGGAAGGGTGGTACGAACTTACATTTCGAGCCTTTCTCCTCAAGATGGCCCCAAGAGCCTCCCCCGACGCCCCCGTGGCGCCCACAAGAGGCCCAAAAAGGTGTCCCCAGGAAGCCCCCAGGGGGCCCCCAGATGCCCCCACGAGCCCTCCTAGAGGCTCCTGAGAGGCATCCCGCGAGCCCCTCAAATACACCCAAGAAGCTCCTGACCCACCAAATAACACCCCGAAGAAAGTGCGGATAACAGTGAGGGGGCGAGCGCGGAGTGGGTCGCGGGTGGGTCGCACGCGGATCGCGTGTGGATCGCGGGGTGGGTCGCGGGTGGATCACAGGTGGGGTTGCGGGTGGGTCGCGGGTGAATCGCGGGGTGGTTCGCGGGTGGGTCGTGGGGTGGGTCGCGGGTGAGTCGCGGGGTGGGTCGCGGGTGGGTCGTGGGTAGGACGTCGACAACAAAACAGCACAAAACGACAAGAATACGCACTGCGGGAACCCGCTTCATCCACGCACCCGGGGACTTTGTAAGACCGTTCGGCCTCTTCACTCTGATATACACAGGCACCCGCCAGCAAATTTTGCCTGTGCCTTCCGGGAGGATGGCGGTGTATGGAGCCGCTGGCTCTCACTGGTGATGTATACACCGCCGCCCTCCCCATGAGGCCTAGGAGCAGTCCTCTGGAGGGCACTTGTGCATAACCATGTTTGTGGCCGAGACCCCCCTCGCTCGAGGTGGCCGAGGCAGCCTGCTGGCGGGGGTGCCGCCCCCACGGGCAGCCGACGTCGTGATCTCGTCACGGCGTGCCTCCCCGGAGGTCCGGCACCCTTCCCTATGGGGACAAGCCCTTCATCCCGGGGCCGTTCCTTGGCGGCCCGCAAGGCCTCCCAAAGGCCGACGGTGGCCAAACATCTCCCGCCGTGTTTTTGTCCCACGGCGCGTGGATGACACATATCCATCTGTCATGTGTCATATATCGGTCCTCAGGCCGCCAGTCGGGACGACTCGGGCACCCCCGAAACGCCCTCGACGAGGCGAAGCTACTGGAAAGCAACCAGAGGCGAGACGACCTCAAAGAGCAGACGAAGAACTGCCGAAAACCTGTCAGAAAACCACCCACGGAGCCCCCGAAATCCCGACCCGTTACCTGGGGCCGGTTTCTCATCCCGAGTCGTTTGAGATGGTCCTCAGGGGCCCGGCGGGAGAGCACTAAAGCCCATCCGCCTTGCGTGCTTGAATAAGTTGGAGGCTTTGGATGCTCATTCTGGGGACCTTCCTGGAGACACTCGCTCCACTCATGCGTCGAAGCTGCGCCGAACGTCCGTCGACGTGGGCCGGCCTTGAATCGAACCTGCGTCGAACCTGAGTCGAACTTGAGTCGAACTTGAGCCGAATTTGAGCCGAACTAGAGCCGAACAGATCCGTTAGGTGGGCCCCAGAAAGGTCCCCCAAACGAGCATCTCAAGGCTTGGGCACCCTCCGCCACGCAGCCTCCCCACCCTCCCAGGCGCTCCTGGCTCGCGCTCGCCGTCTCGCTCCCGGCTGCGCTCGCGGGAGCGGCCCCGGCGCCCCCGCGAGCGCTCCCGCTCCCGCTCCTCGGGGTTGCCGCAGGGCGGCGGGGGGGGCAACGCGCAGCGCTCGCAGCGCCTCAGAGCCTCCTCCTCCTCCTCCTCCTCCTCCTCCTCCTCCTCCTCCTCCCCCTTCCTCATCCCCCTCCTCCACCATTCCTTTTCCTGATAACAAACTTCTCCCTGTCGCACCCCGAGGCCAGTTTTTAGGGCGGGCTGGGCGTTTCGCCTGAGACTTCCTCACCACTTATGACTCTGAGGCTTAAGAAGTTGCAAGCAGTTTCACAGGTTGAGGGCGGGTGGTTTTCAAAATGTGGCTCTCGTCGCCTGAGCGCGGCCCGCATTCGTCTTTGAAATTTGAAAGAGCTTCATGGATACAGGGCGGGTGGTTTTCAACATGTGGCTCTCGCCTTAGCGCCGCGCGCATTCGTTTAAACATTTGCAGGAGCTTCACGGATTGAGGGCGGATCGTTTTCAAAATGTGGCTCTCGCCTTAGCGCGGTGCACATTCGTTTCAAAACATCTGCGAGGGTTTCACGGATTAAGGGCGAGTGGCTTTCAAGATGTGGCTCTCGCCTTAGCGCGGAGAACATTCGTCTGAACAAATTGCAAGCGTTTCACGGATTGAGGGCGAGTGGTTTTCAAAATGTGGCCCTCGCCTTAGCACGGCGCACATTCGTTTCAAACATTTGCAAGAGGTTCACGGATTGAGGGCGGTTCCTTTTCAAAATGTGGCTCTCGCCTGAGCGCCGCGCACATTCTGTTTTTAAACGGTTGCAAGAGTTTCACGGGTTCCCATCACCAACGTACCAGCAATTGTGTTTTGGATGGATTCAGGATTATGCGGGTGCAACACGTACATTGATTCTCAGTTTTGAAGTCCTAGGAACTCATTATGACATGATTCAATATCGTTAAGACGCAACAGTCAGGCTGATCCGTGGCGATGGAATCGAGAACAATGCTTTGGCATTATTCAGGGTCTTCAAACGAGTGCTTTCCAACGAGGCAGTTCCATCAATGGAAACGAACCTTTTGTAGGGGCCTATGGAGAGGGAGCTCGGAGGGAGGGTTTACTCCGACATCATTGATGACCCTTTGGGTTTACACTGGTCCTCCTCCTCCTCCTCCTCCTCCTCCTCCTCCTCCTCCTCCTCCTCCTCCTCCTCCTCCTCCTCCTCCTCCCCCCCCCTCCTCCTCCTGGGGGCCTCGGCACGAGCAGCAGGCCGGCGGCGCGTGGCGCCAGCGTGTCGAAACGTGCGCAGTCGGGGCGCACACCCAGGACCCTCCTCGTCACTGCACAGCGACCTTGCAGACGTGCTGCAGCGGATGTTCGGCGTGGATCTCTGTCAGCGCAGAAAACCCCAGAACGGCGAGCGAAAAACGAAGCGGATGTCACGTGGATGTTGTTGTAGTCTTTATCCCTGGCCCCCCAAAAAATCCGAACGAAATGCAGCTCGAAATCGGGAACGAAATTCTCCGGGACACTCCGGGCCCATCCTGTTGCTTTCTGAACGACTTCCGCTCTGCGATGTTGGCGCCATGACTCCTCGCGCTGTGGAAAAATCGCGACGGGAGGTTTCTCGCTAGTTTTGGCCTCGGGGGGCCCTCGCGGGGCCCTGGGGCCGTCAAAAGACGACTCGGGGCGAAAAGGTGGTCCTGGGGGACCGTCTTGAAAAATCACGACATCGGATCTCTGGGTGTGCAGCCGAGGCGCATAATGAGGATGCACGACAAGGATGCCAGGGCCCTCGAAGGCCGCATCGCCACCCGTCGAGAGGGGCGCTGCCAGCGAGAGAGGCCGAGGACGAGCCGACGGGGAGGGATGCGAGGGCAGCCGTGGGCAGTCGCTCATCCTTCCTGTGCGACTGGGCTGCATGTACTGTTTTGCTTGAAAGGAGAGGCCCTGACGCTTCTCGGCCGCGTTTGAGCTCCCCGGAGCCCAGGCCAGGGGGGGGGGGGGGTGGAGGCCTCGCTTGCTCGTGCAAAAGGAAGCCAAGACTGCAGGAAATGCCAGACAGCTCCTTCCAACTGGGCGCCCTCAGGGGAACAGTACTCTACACAATCCGAACACAGTTGTCTCGTCACAGTGCTGGCGGACGCTCAGCGCAATCGAGTATGAAACCCAGGCTACGGGATCGCGACAGTCTCCGTCCAGTCTCAGCACAGTCACGGCGTGAGCTGAGCGCAGGAGGTTGCACCAGCACAGCAGGCCCCTTCCTGCATGAAGCGCTTCGAGCCCCCCTCCCTCTCTTTCTCTCTCCCTCCCCATGTCCACTCCCTCTCCCTCCCTCTCTCTCGGTCTCTGTCTATATCTCGCTCTTGCTCTCTCTCTCTCTCTCGTTGTTTCTCTCGCTCTCTCTCTTTCTACCTCTGGTGTCTCAACGTCGTTATAATATATCTCTTGTTGTTTGTTATATGTGCGCGGCCGCCTCGCGGCCACGAGCGGCTCGCTAACCCGGATCAGACAGAGGGGGTCTGCGCAGGATCCTGCAGGATCTGGCGCCCTGGCTGACCCCCGTCTGCACTGACCCCCCCGTCTCGAGGCTCCCGAAGCGGGCCGTGGTGTTTCTTTCTATTTATTCATATTTCTACAAATAATGAATAAACCCATCTCTCTCTCTCTCAATGTGTCGGAGGCGGAGGGTGAGTTCCAGATGAAACGGACCCACCCCCTCACTATGAAATCGGTTTCGCTTTCGTGTTCATAGCGCGCGTGCCGGCGAGGCAAAACTGCGTGGGCGGGCGAAATGAATGAACCAGCCGTTGCTGGGGCGAAACGGGGCTCGCTCAATGATTCCCCTCCCCCGGTTGGCCACCGATGGCTCGGGAGTGTCCTGCTGGAGTTCCGTAGTGTCCAATGGCGGGGTGTCCCCTGGTGTCCCGTGGTATTCCGTAGCGCGGTGTCCCGTGGTGTCACGTGAGGTCGATTGTGAGATCGATAGTGGGATCGACAGTGAGATCGATAGAGAAAAAGATAGTGAGATAGATGGTGAGGTCGACTGTATGATCGATAGACAATGAGATCGGTAGATCGAGGGAGATCGATGGTGATACCGAAAGGTAGATAAGCAGCTAGAGCAGGCGAGAAGTAACGCCAGGCTCTGCCAGCGCACTCCTGGCCTCAGCGCCCACACTCCGCGAGCATGGCTCTCGCGCGCGACTCCCACAGTTCTCTGTGAGCGACCAGGCCGCGCTGCCGCTCCTAGACGGTAGGCAAGTTTTGGCTCAGAGCAGGACACGATGACCATATCGACTGCGGCACTGTGAAATCGGTCATCACGGTCATACTCAGCACAATCACCATCGCCACCAGCATCACAATCAGCATCAACACGACCATCATTACCATCAACCCTATCGCCATCACCATCATCGCACAGCAGTCAAGGTTTTCGAACAGATGGCGCGCCAAACGGTGGAACTTCAATAGTGCGATCGATTGATAGAGAGACTGCTACGTATGTAGTGGGGTCGGCCGTGGGTCCGATACCGAGGCCGATAGATCGGAGGCTGGGGGGTTATCTCGATCGATAGTGAAACCGATCATGCGATCGACAGTTGTGTCCCGCGGTGTCTCGTGGTCTTTTATGTTCTTCGTACGTGCTGGAGGAGAGAGAGCGTGGGCAAATAAATGTCACCGGGTTGCGCTGGTTGCCCCGTTGCGTTGGCGTCTCGTAGTCAGACGAGATCGGGAACGATAATGAAATCGATAGTAGGGTCGACTGCGACATCGATAGTGAGACCGATGGACGGATCTATGCGCATCTAAAACATGAGATCGATGGTGAGATCGATTTCTAAGTCGACAGTGAGAGCGGTAGTGAAAGCCATGGTAAGATCGACAGATGATTAGATCGAAATATAAAGGGACAACCATAGTGGGGCCGATAGTGAGATCGATAGATAGTGAAATCAATCGTGAGATCGATAGTGGTGTCGCGTGTGTCCCGTAGTGTCTCGCGGTGTCCCGTCGTCTTGTATTTTCTGTTAGCATTATTCTGAAAGGCTGATTGCCCCGATACTTTTCGTTTGATGTCCCAATAAATCGGAGCCTGGGGGGTGAGTTCGAAGTTGAGCGAAGACGCCCCACCAGGAAATCAGTTTCAGTTTCGTGTTCGTGTCGTGCGTGCGAGGCGAAGAGGCGTGGGCGGGCGAGATGAATGAACCCGCCGTGGCTGAGGTGAACATGAGCCCAATGACTCAAGGCCCCCTGGTTGGCTGGCGGTGGCTCGGGGGTGTCCCCCCGGTGGTCCGTGGTGTCCCGTGGCGCGGTGTCCCGTGGTGTCCCGTGAGGTCCATTGTGAGATCGATAATGAGGTCGATAGACAAAGTGATATTGAGATCAATAGTTAGGTCGACTGTGAGATCAGTAGGTCGTGAGATCGTAGGATGTAGGGAGATCGATAGTAAGATCAATACGTAGATAAAGAGTGAGACCGATATGTAGATGGCAACACAGGTACTCAGCGGTGCCCAACTGGTTCTCGCCGAGTCTGACCCGACCCCAAATGAACACCGAAGGCTGAACTCCACCACAACCTCCTTATCACCCGAAGGGTGGTCGCATAGGTACATATCGTTAACCTCTTATGTAAGCTGGCACGTCTCCCCATCCAGACAAGGAAGTTAGCCGAAACAAGGAATGTCTCACTATCAGGCACCTGGGACTTGCACTTCTAGCTCCCCGAGGACGCAGGATCAATAATGCAAAAGCTTGACGCGCCTGCTCGAGCACCACCGACCGCGGGATACCGCACTCGGGGACGGCGCCCAGCCTGACTCGAACCACGTCCCAGCCCGCCAGGAGTCTATCAGACCCGATGACAAGTTGAACTGCTCTGCTTCAAGTTCGAGCAGATCCACTCTCGACCTTGGACCCAATCGTGGACTTGGCGACCCTCTGCGTAGAGGCCTCCTAGATGGGGTCGGTGTGGATGGGGTCGGAGGATCGCGCCGCATCGCCGATGCATCGCCGACGCATCGGCGATGCATCGGATACGTCGGCGGAGCATCGGCGATGCCAGCGCGGAGAAACTGGGGTTCCCCATCGAGCCGCATCGGCGATGCATCGGCGATGCGGTGCGATCCTCCGACCCCATCTCTCGCCATCGCTCGGACGTCCATTCCCTGTGTTTGTTTCGGTTTCGTGCGTGGCCTTTACGCCAAATGATCAAGGATGCTCCTCGATGGTCCTCGCCGAAGGAAAATGCACACGTCCGAGCGATGCCGAGATCTGCCCGGACCCCCTCTGAGCGACGAAGAGAAAGGGGTCTCACGCGAGCCGGCACAGCGACCGCACGCGGTGAGATGCGCGGGCCACGGGCGCCCGACCTTACGCGGGAAGCCCAAGCGCCAATGTCGGCGCAGACGACTCCGTTGTTGTTGCGTCGCTATATATATATACACATACATATATATACTCCGTTGTCGCTGCGTCGCTGTATATATATATATATACATACATACATATATATTTACACATATGTGTTTACCTCCCGACCCTCTGCGTTAATTATCCTCCCTGCAGAGGCCCGTTTCCAACTACCACGAAACGCTGCATCTAGAAGGAGGCGGGCGGCCGTCCAGGCCGAAGGCTGCGGCGCGCGCACTGGCGCCAAACGCGCGCTGAGACCGTCGATAAGACGATGCCAGCGTGCGCAGCGGAAATGCTCCTCCTCCTCCTCTTCCTCCTCCTCTTCCTCCTCCTCTTCCTCCTCATTTTCCTCCTTCTCCTCCTCCTCGTCATCCTCCTACTCCTCCTGCAGCTCCCTCCTCCTCCTCCTCCTCCTCCTCCTCCTCCTCCTCCTCCCTCCTCCCTCCCTCCAGGTCCCGCTTGCACAAGCGATGGGGAGCGTTAGGGGTGCACTGGGCTCAAGGGGGGGGAACATCAACCTGAAATCGGCGATACATCGCCGATAGATCGGCGATGGCCCCCCGACGGCTTCGGCGAAGCCGCACGGTCCGCGGCGGGCGAGACCGTGCGGCGGCCATCCCTCCCTAGCGTTGCCCCTGACTATGGTCTTTCTCATCCTCCTCCCTCCCTCCCTCCCGCCCTCCCTTCCTCAATCCCTCCCTCCCTCCCTCCCTCCTTCCCTCCTTCCCTCCTTCCCTACTTCCCTCCCTTCTCCACCTCCTCCTCCTCCTGATCCCGCTGGCCCCAGCGATCCTTGGAGCGTTCTCTGCGGTCGCTGTCCCGGGGGCGCTCGCCTTCTCGCCGCTCGCCGTCTCGCCGCTCGCCGTCCCGGCGGTCGCCTTCTCGGCGGTCGCCTTCCCGCCGCTCGCCGTCCCGGCGCTCGGCGTCCCTGCGGTCGCCTTCCCGGCGCTCGCCGTCTCGGCGCTCGCCGTCCCGGCGGTCGCCTTCCCGGCGCTCGCCTTCTCGCCGCTCGCCGTCCCGGCGCTCGCCGTCCCGGCGCTCGCCGTCTCGGCGCTCGCCGTCTCGCCGCTCGCCGTCCCGGCGGTCGCCTTCTCGACGCTCGCCTTCTCGGCGGTCGCCTTCTCGACGCTCGCCTTCTCGGCGATCGCCGTCTCGGCGGTCGCCGTCTCGGCGGTCCCCGTCTCGGCGGTCGCGGTCCCTGCCGTGGGGGCAGAAACGCTCTCGCGCACACCCACGCGCATCGGCCTCGCCTGACCCGCGCCACCCCTCTCCCTCAAGAGGGGGAGGAGGAGGAGGAGGAGGAGGAGGAGGAGGAGGAGGAGGAGGAGGAGGAGGAGGAGGAGGAGGAGGAGGAGTGGCGCAGAGGACGGAGAGACACGTGGCGGCGGACGAAGCACGGTACCCCCAAAAAAACTGCTCCGCCATCGGGGGCGCCTGTCACAGCGCGGCCACGAAGCTCATACACCGACGTGCCACCGCAGGGGTACAAACTTTCCAGCCGCCCTGGGATATGTTGGATGCTCATTCTGGGGACCTTCCTAGAGACACTCGCTCCACTCGTGCGTCGAAGCTGCGTCGAACGTCCGTCGATTTGAGCCAGCCTTGAGTCGAACCTGAGTCGAGTCTGAGCCGACCTTGAGTCGAACCTGAATCGACCTTGAGTCGAACTTGATTCGAACTTTGGTCGAACTAGACTCGAACCGATCCGTCAGGTGGGCCCCAGGAAGGCCCCGTCCGCTGAGGCCTTATAGGCAGGGGCCCAAGAGCACGGAGACGAGGACGACGAGGAGGACGACGGAGGCAGGGGACGGCATCGGGGGGCACGAGCAAACCACCTGCACCGACCCTGGACAGGCTAAGGCCGGGGCCGGCGCGCGGCCAGTCTCGGCGCGCCCTGCCCACAGGAGGCCCACATCGCAGGGACGAAGCTCCTCTTTGTGCCATTGCGGGTTGGGGCCATCAGGAAGCGAGCGAGGGGGGGAAGCGAGAAGGGGCGGGCCTTCCAAGAAGTCTCGGAGGTCCCCTGGCCTTCTGAGAAGTCTTCTAAGCCTTCCCCGAAGACAGACAACCACTTCTCAGAGGGCGCGAGGGCTCCTGGGAAGCCCCGCCGCCTCCTGAGCAGGCCTTCTCCCTCTCCCCTCCCCCCCCCTCGCTCGCCGCTGAGCCGTGCTCCGTGTCAGTCGAGGAACTGGCTGGGTGCCCTCTCTCTCTCTCTCTCTCTGGCTTCGCCGCGCTGCCGCCACGCTGCCGCCCCGCGGGCGCCTCGCGGGCGCCCCGTGCGCCGTGGGGGGGGGGCGCTGCGGAGACCGCCGCCGCGCTGCCGCCCCCGCGGGCGCCTCGCGGGGCGCCCCGTGCGCCCCCGGGGGCGGCTTGCCCGAGGCTGCGCGGCGCTGCCGCCCCGCTGCCGCGCCTCGGGGCCGCCTCGTGGGCGCCCCGCGCGCGGAGCGCACGGGACTCACAGCGCTCGCCGCGCTGCTTACGCCACCGTTGCGCACACTGCATGGCGTACCACGCCCTGTGTGGCACAGCACTGCTTGCATCGCACAGCTTACATACCCCCAAGCGGTGCATCTCCGGTTCACACGGCCTATATAGCTTACACGGCATAGCCTGCGCAACATAGCTTGCACCGCAGGGCTTCCACCTCAACAACCTACACAGCACAGCTTACAGGGCAGTTTTTAACACATGGGATGATTAAAAACGTTGGATGTTTAGAACATGAGTAATTTATGGATACATGTATGCATGAATTCATCGTTGGTTTGAATGCTAAATCCCAGCATTTTTAATACATGATCCGCACGCGGAGCATGCATTTAGAACGGCACTGTACACTACTACATCGTGCCGACAACAGATCTGCTTCATAACTTCCACCTCGAAAACTCTGTGGGGATGGCGAACATTTGGTTGAAACCTGTGGGTACCAAGTGCCCTGCGAACCGAAGTGCTCCTGGCTGCAGCCAGCGACCCGAAAGCGCTCCACTGCTGCGACGCTTTGACGGCATGGGCTCGCAGCGAGTTCGACCCTGCCGCTCGGAAAAGCTGCTCGTGTTCGCCAGGGGGCCGTTTTCCGATGGCGCCGGGGTCCGTGCAGGGCTTGGCGAGGGGGGCCCGGTGCGGACCTGCGAAGTCTCTGCTCGGAGGCAGCGACGATCAACAACGGGTCTCACGCGAGATGGCACAGCGACCTTACGCGGCGGCTTCCGCGGGCCACCAGCGCGGCACGGTACTTTTAAGAAGAATGGGACGCACAGAGACATACTAATACTATATGTCCTCCTCGGAGGCGCGCGTCCGACCCGAACATATAGTGTACCCATCTTGTAGTATTTCGTTTCCCGAGCGGTGTAGCGCCCGCCACGGCGAATCTATTGTGAGATTTCTCGGTGCTCGCGGTGCCCCTGGGGGGGCGACGCACATATAGTAGGAGCATGTTGGGTTGACGCCGAAAGAGGAGCTTACGCGCGACCTTACGCGGGCAGCTTACTCGCCAATGTCGGCGCAAACGACCCTCTTTTTGTTGCGGCGCTCGCGCGACCCGACCAGAAGGACGCGACGTCAGGATGCAGGGCTTTTGACCGCCCAGACTGAGGCCAGAGCTGAAGCCCGTGGCCCACGGTGGCAAAGCTATACGGGCCAGGACGGGTGTCGAAGGGCAAGGAGGGCGACATCCGCCGGTCAGAGTTTCTGAAGCTGCGGCCCCAAAAGCCCCAGATCGATTCATAGGAAGGACTTTTCCGTCCATTATCAATTTTGGATGGTCCGGGGGGCCGAAAATGGTCCCCGAAGGCTGAAATCATAACGGCTGGGGAAAACATAGATTCGAATATCTGGAGATGCAACAGTCCCTTTGGAAAGTGACTCATCCCCAGCAGGAGGTCTGACTGCATTAGCGGGCGAAGAACGGCAGAAGAAAGGCTTGTGCCTGTCCCAGTGCGGCTGGCCAGCTTATGATTTATGACCGCACGGTGGCAGGTGAGGATACAGTTGAACCCATGCCAAAACACACCCTGCTTGCCTCCATGATGCGCAAGGCTTCTTGAATTTCGATGGCTTTGCTATGGGAACAGTGACGTCCCCACATCAAGAATCACTGGACGTCATTGGGTTCCACGGACGGGTTTCTTGTGGAAGGTTTCTTGTGGTTGAACTACTGCTATATGAACCTCCCAGCCGGCCACGACATGAACCCCCCATGGCAGAACCGTCAGACTGAGGGGGGCGAACGGTCTTGCAAAATCCATGGGTGGTTGGCCGAGGTCGGCTTCCGTGGCGCCGGTTAAACTTGTTTATTGTTGTTGTTGTTGTTGCTGTTGCTGTTGCTGTTGCTGTTGTTGCCGTCGTCATCGTCGTCGTCGTCGTCGTCCGCGACCCGCTTGCGGCCCACCCGCGACCCACCCGTGACCCACCCCGCAGCCCACCCGCAACCCTCACCCGCGACCCACCTGCGGAGAACGCTGGGGAACGGATTGGATGCCGGCCCGCCCTCCGAATGGAGGAGGGCAGGAAAAGGGCCTGGCACACTTCCGATGAATTGTCCCAAACGAACACAACTAAGAACGCTTATGGGGGATGGAGAGAGGAGGCGGGGGAGAGAGAGAGAGAGAGGAAGAATGAGCAGGAGGAGGAGAAAAAGGAGGAGGAAAAGGAGGAGGAGGAGGCGGAGGAGGGAGAGGAGGAAAGAAGCAGGGAGAGAGGGATTGAGAAAGGGACGGGGGAGAGAGGGAAGAGAGAAAGGAAAAGGGTGCGAGAGGAAGGGAGACAGAAAAATATTGAGACGATGAGACAGAGATAGAGAGTGAGAGAGAGAGAGAGAGAAAGAGAGAGAAAGAGAGACAGACAGAGAGGGGAAAATATACATTGACAGAAAAAAGGGGGAGAAAGAGAGAGAGAGAGAAGTATTACAAGTTAAAGAGAGAGAAAGAGAAAAAGAGAGTGAGAGAGAGACGGAGAAAAAGAGTGAGAGAGATAACAACAAAAGAGGAGAGAGAGAGAGAGATCGACAGAGGAAAGGATGAGAAGCAGGAGGAGGAGGGGGAGGAGGGAACCAGAGAGGAGGGAGGGAGGGAGGGAAATACAGAGAAGAGAGGGAGCGGGCGGAGAGAGAGGACAACGAGAAGAGACTGCCCGCAGATCGCGGCGAAGAACTTGACCGCCCTGGCCCAATTGTGATACAGTGGCAGAGCTCCCACCTCCGAGCCACGCGACAGCACTATACGCAGCAGTGCACAGCAGTTGATAGCACGCGACTCAGAGCATGCTTGCTGAGATCTGTAGTGCTGCACTGCTTGATTCGACGAGAGAGCGAGAGAGAGAGAGAGAGGATGAGGGCGAGGAGAAGGAGCACGGCGCTGGTCACCCGATGACAGACCTGCCGACAGCTCGTAGATCCTGGGAGGAGAGAGGCGGAGGCGGAGGAAGTGGACAGGACAGGCTAGGACAGGACGCGCACCTTCGGAACAGTAGGCATCGGCGCCTTCAGCTCCTCAAAATCCAGAATCACCTCGAGCCAATGCGTGAACTGGCCACCGGGTCGCCGAACCTGGCCTTCACGATCAAGACCCCAGTTGAAAACACTGTATGACCAAGACACCGTTTTCCGCGCGCATGCGCTCAATCCAAGAAGCTGCCGCGTTGCGGCGTTCGTTAACAAACAAAGTCGCGCAACTTCAGGCGCGAAAAGCGCTGTTCAGCATCTCTCGTTGCCCTCTAATCTGGCCAAGGCTCAATCCAGCTCGGGCCCTGTGATGGCGCAGGTTATAGACTGGGCGCACTGGACATGTCCAAGCCTGGGTCAACAACTCTCCTGTTTCATCGTATGCGCATGTGGAGCACTTTCCGTCGTGATTTTCGGATCTTGTCCTCTGGCTCTTTAGTAAATACCCACGTGGCTGTCTCGTAAAGCATAGTCGTGGGCACGGCGCAGTCGAACAGCTGGAGGCGCGAGTTTCATGGATATCTGCGATTGGTCACCTCATATGGTTAATGTATAAATGGTGTCCACGCCATGCGGATGATGTTGCCAAACTTGCCACCGTGGGGCCGATCAAACCTCACCTGCCTCCCCATCTATGGCAACTTTTCATTGCAATGGACGGTCTCGACGATCAGGGCGTCCACGATGGTGTGCGAAACTGACGGAAGTCCCGTGCCCCGCGTCGTGTTGCTAAAATATGAGTCTCATGTGGATGCAATTCCTATCCCTCCTTAGCCGCCGCTCTCCTGATGTTGGCGAGCATTGCTTTCAATTGCCTGAGGTTTGAGGCGGAGGGATGGAGGAGGAGAAAGAGGAGGAGGAGGCGGAGGGATGGAGAAGGAGGGATGAAGGAAGGGAATACTCCGTATCCATGAAATAAACGGCGCCGGGGGCCGGTTTATTAAGGCGCCTTTTTGGAGGGCGGGAGGGGCCGGATTTTAAGCCGGTTCCGCGCGACCGAAGCTAAGGGGGGCCGCATTACGGAGGCGCAGTTTGCACCGCCATTTTGACATGGACATTTATCATTCAACGCCCCACCATCACCGTGCATGCTCTGATATAAAATTAGTTTGTGCCCAACGCGACAAACTGTTCATAGTTTATCTCCGATGCGACACTCAATACATTGACGCGCGAACAAAATTGTCGCCTTGTTTTATTGTTTGTCGCCTTCGTACCACTGGGGCCGCAACCGCAATCGCTACCATTATAGATGGCGCCTGCACCACACCATCATTTTCGCGATCATGGTGTTCGCCATATTGATCGCAAAGGTTGTCGAAGTCGCAGGCGACATTGTTCTGATCACCAACGCCGTCATCATCGCGCAACCGCCGCCCAATCATTTCCACCACCATACATAGAATTCTGGATTTCCCTGGAGGGGACTGGAATATTACGGCGCCTCCCAAGGACGGGGGGCCGGAATAATAAGTAAACGAAGCAGGGGGGGTCCGGCTTTTTAGGGGGGGGGCCGTCTACTAAGGGATATGGATGTGGAGTAGGAGGAGGTCCCTGTTGTTTGGGGGCGGAGGGGAGGACGGGGGCGGACAACATGACTTAACAGGAGGTGCTCAAACGCGAATGCTGCCACACACATCACGAGCCAGGCCAAAAGAGATCTTGAAGCAGGCTGTAATCAGGAGGTGGCCCATGTGTGTATGTGCGGGTGTGGCTGTACGGTCGTCCTGCCCCCCGAGGGGGGGTTCGCCCTACCCACGGGCCTGCGGTCACCGTCCCGGTCGCGTCGGTCTCCGTCGCGCCGGTCCTCTTGGCGGCTCTCCTCCTCCTCCTCCTCCTCCTCCTCCTCGTCCTCCTCTCCTCATCCTCCATCCTTCTTGAGCCCGTGAGAGTGAAATTGGTGCTGAAAAAACTGTGTGCGAAGATCAGACCTAATTATCAGAGCTACAACTGCTGCAAAGCGAGACTGGTTTGTTCCTGCACCCTGGCGACCATGGCCCCAACCCCTCGGACAGGACGACGCCTTTTGCAGCCCAAGTCTTTTGAGCGTTTCAAGTGGCAGGCAGAGCTGCCGACGAAATTGATATACCTACATACATATGTATATGTGTATGTATATATGAATATAGCATAGAATCTACAGCCAAGCCTTGTCATGCACGCAGACACGGGCAAGAGCTGGTGAAGGGGTGTGCTCATGGATGGCTCTTGGAAGAAACCTCCGATCAGTTCATTTTCCGAACGCTGGCTGGGGGACCTCTCAGTTGCCGCCGGATTGCCAGCTCCAGGCCCCCCTGTGCGGCCCTCCCTCGCATCCAGCTGCCCCTAGACCGCCCGGGTGCAGAGGTTGGCGCCCCCGCCTGCGCCGCTGGCTCGTGAGCGTTTCCTTGTTCGGCGTTTCGACATCTGGCGGAAGGGGGGGGTATGGCTCCAGGCCTCTGCTTAGTGCGACTGCTTGCAACCGAGCGTCCTGTGGGGGAGACTCCACCTGACTGAAACAGGCGTCCACCAACAGCAAAGATCTGCTCAATGGAGTGGGGGGGGAGGGGGGGTGCGAGGGCCCGCGCCGATCAGCAAAATAATGAATAGAAAAACGAGCACCTCGCCGTTTCAAACCTGAATGCTTCAAGGAGGGACCAAGAGCATGTCGTCGGCGAGGACGGCGGCGGCGGCGACCACCACGACGACGCCATCCCCCCCCCGCGCGTAACGCGTCCCGAGAGCGCGGCCAGCGCCCCGAAATCGCAGGCGCGGAGGCTGGCGTGCGTACAGCCGCGGCGATCAAGGGGGGCCCACGAAGGCCCACAATTACACCCGTGGCAGCAGAAGGCCATACGCCTATGTTGTCCCCATGATACGCAAAGACCACAGCTCACAAATGATTTCGAGCACCCCGACAGCGAAGAATCGCTTCCCAGGGCCCGACACCAGAAAAGCCGCCCGTTTCGGGATGTCGCTGGTGCTCGAAGTTCTTTCTTGCCATCAAGGCTAAAGTAGATTGGAACATCCCAACCGTCGCAGCAGAAGAGCCTAAGCAGCTGCAGCCGGCAAGGGTGAGTACGATGTAACATAACAGACTGTAGTGCACACAAAAATCCAACATATTGAACATATCAAGACGGAAGTTTTTCAAAATTTTCGGCCTCCAAAGGTCCTCGCCAGGCCCCAGCACCGTCAAAAAACGACTCAAAATGAAAAACCGGTCCTGAGGAATGGGTCGAGATTTCCGGGTACCTCGTATTGGAAAAAACACGACATCGGATCTCTGGGCACGATGCTCTAGTACGATATACCACAAGTGTACCATTGTGTACGGTACCACCGCGACCAGGAAGCACCACAGGTCACGCCCAGAAATCACCGGCCACGGCAAAGGAAGACTACCAGGGAGCACAGACCACGGATCTTGGATCCGTCGACGCGCCCACCAGCCTTTGAGGTGTAGGACCCTTACTGACAAGCTGGTTTGAGAAAGTCGAGAAGTCGACGACGACGAGGAGGACGACCTCTCTGGCCACGGCGAGCCAAGAGGGGCTGTGGTGAGCGGGGTGGACTTCCAGTTGACAAGACGAGGGACCTCTTGGAAGGGACCGGAGGCTTCTGAGAAGGCTTCTCAGAAGGCTGAAGGGCCCCTTATAAAATAATACAACAACAAAAACAGTAAACGTAAACTTTTGCCGTTCCACTCTGATTTCTTAGATCTGCGCAGGTCCCCCCACCCCTGCGCTGCGAGCAGCGCGCGGGGGGGGGACCCAGCGCGGATTTAAGAAACCCATGCCGAGCTCCAACAGTTTATTTTTATGGCCATATCCACTGCGTCCTTAGAGGCCTCCTAGATGGGGGCCGAGTAGACAGGAGAGCCCATAATCAAATCGAGAAGCCGGATCGGCGATCGAAGTGAATCGGGTCGGCGGAAATCGACAGCCGAGTCAGGAAACGTCGAATCGGCGGACATCGGCAGGCTAGTAGCCTTCGATCTGTGATGGTCCCAGGGCCCAAAAACACAGCGAAAATGTAAAGTGTGAAAAAGATGCAACGCCCGGATGTCCACTGACCTTCCAAAGTGTTGAACAATGAATAGCCCTCCTATAGACATACCTGAACTGCGACAAACCTCGATTCGAACTTAGCGTCAAAGGCCCTGGTGAGAATTCTAGCCGTCCTGAGGCCGAAACCAAGGAAAAACAACGGGATATAACACATTTCACTGCTCGGGGATCTACTGACCCGCAGTCCTGGGTCAATCAAGATCCTGCAGGATCCTGCAGGATACTGCGCCCAAGCCCGGGTCAGTGCGCCCGTGGCGGTGCAGGATCCTGCAAAATCCGGCGCTCTGGCTGACCCGCGTTTGCCTTGACTCCCGTCTCAAGGCTCCCGGATGGTCAGACCTGGGGCTGCCGAAGTCTCAGGCTGCCAGGTCTCAGCAAGCATCGCGAGGATTTGCTTCTGCTTCCTGGAACATGAAAGATCGTAATTTCCGAATGCGCGCGCCAAGACGACGTGACTTCGAGTCCCTGAGGGTCGGGACTTCAAGTCCCGACCCTCAGGGCCAGGCTTGCATCCCGAGTCTTAGGTCGGGCCTGTCCCCCTGCAGGGGGATTTTGGACGAAAAAAAAAAATACCCGAAAATACTCAAAAGATTGCCAAAAATACTAAAAAAAATATCCCCAGACTATTTTTTTACTATTTTTGAATATTCCCCCTGTAGAGGGACAGGCCACGTCGGAGGTTGGAGGTCTGGGGAGACGTCAAGTGTTCTGCGCACCATTGTGGACAAGTCCTCGCCTCGGCCTACCCCCTGGTGGTTTTGGGGTCGCAACTCGGCTCTCCCACGGGAGGTCGGGACGATCCAGGCGCCTCCAGGACACTGTCGGCAGGGCACAGATGCTTGAAGGCACCCCGAGGTTGGGACCCCGCTGAGAGCCCCGAATCCGAACGCCCCCGAGCAGAGGCCTCCCATATGGGGCCCGAGTAAATGGGGTCGGAGGATCGCGCCGCATCGACGATGCATGTGGTACCTCGGCGACGCCGGCGTGGAGCAGATCGGGCTCTCATGGAGCCGAGTCGCCGATGCATCGGCGATACGGTGCCATCCTCCGACCCCGCCCGCTCGGGACCCCTCTGGGAGGAGGCCCAGGCGGGAGGCACCCCGAGGCTGGGCACCGCCGAGGACCCACGAACATGGACGCACGAGAAGGCGAACGTCTTCTTGTTCGGCGATTCGGCCTTGGGCGGTGCGGCAGAGGGGGTCTGCGCCGAGCCGAGAGATCCGCGCGCGGGCCGTCACAAGTGCAGGGTCAACCCGTATGATAAGGACGCACGATGAGGCGAACGTCTTCTTATTCGGCGATTCGGCATTGGGCGGGGCGGCAGGGGCGGAATCTGGCTCCGGACCTCCGCTTGGTGCGGCTGTTTGCAGCAGTGCGCCCAACTGGGGAAGAGGCTCCATCTGCTCGAAACTGGCGCCCAAACCAGCCAAGATCTACCCCACGGGGGGGGGAGGGGGGGTGCGAGGGCCCGCGTCGATCGGTAAAACAATGAATAAGAAAACGATCACATGCAAGGGCCTTGGAAGGCCATGTCGACACTCTGCGAGCGGGGCGCGGCCAGCGAAGGCGGCCAGGGATGGGCCGAAGGGGAAGGACGCAAGAGTAGCTTTTGTGAAAGTCGCTCGTCCTTACCACTGTGCAGGTGGACTGTATGCGTATGCCGCTGTGCCTTCGACCTGACGTCGCCCGAGCAAAGAGGGGGCAACGAAACGAGCGACGAGGCGACCAGGGGAGAGGAACGAAACGCAGCCCACCATGGCGAATCCGCACGTTCCTGGGCAGGGTTGGGATATCGGACCCCTCTCGGCGATCAATGGGCGATTGGGCGTCGATACGGTCCTCCCTTAGCCTATCCTCCCCCCAGCGGCCCCTATTGGGCAGGCGGCCTTCTGTCTCAAACAGACAGCGTCTGCGGCGACACCGACAACGAGTTGCGTTCAAAACGGATAGGACCTCCTGTCGATCTTTGCACAGATTCTTTCCATACCGATTTCGATCGTCCCAACCCTGACCAGGTGGCGACATCCGAACGACTCTGCCCCTACCGACCATCGATGCTCATGGATTGATGAGAGGCGAGGGCAACATTCGGATTTCTCCGCCGACTGTCGTGGGAAACCACAAAAAGTACCGATACCGCTACTCCCGGGACCTCTCCCGGGGTGTGTTCTGACCAGAATTCCGAGGCGAATCCGGCGGTGGCGACGCGACGAGGGCCTCCCATTTGCACGCCCGGAATGGGTACAGAAAGAATGGGTACAATGCCCAACAACAAATGCTGTCCAAAACCAGCAGCGGCCGCTGTTGGGCAGGCGGCCTTCTGTCTCGAATGGACACAGGCCGCGGCGGCGCGGACAGCGAATCCTCTTAAGAATGAACAGGATCCGCTGTTGGGCATGGTGCCCGTTCTTTCCGTACCGATTTCGGGCGTGCAAATCCCAGGAGGCCCTAAGCAGGGACCACGGGCGAAGGGCAGCCGCTTCGGCGGTACTCTCCCTCCTCCGGACTGCCCCCGAGCCCGGGTCCTCCCGGCGCTCGGCGTCGCGCCGGTCCGCGTCCCGGGCGCGGTCGGCGTCCCGGCCGCGGTCGGCGGCGTCCGGCGAGCGCCGGGGCGGCTCGCCGCCGCCGCGGGAGCGCGAGCGGGAGCGGGCGCGGAGCTCGGCCGGCATGGTGGGGCGGCAGAGGCCGGGCGTGGCCAGAGGCGTATAGCCCTGGCCCTTCCCCTGGAAGACACGGCTAAGATGTTTAGCCGCGTTTCGCCGGGAGGTTGCTCTCGCTGGAGCGCGGTGCCAAAATGTTTCAAAGCATAAGTTTTAGCCGGGTTTAGCCGCGCATGCTTCTCGCTGGGGCGTGCCTTATGAGGCCCCTGACCTTCCACTGCAGCCATCGTGCTACCATGGGGAACGCACCGTAGGGAACGAAGGGGCATTTTTGTGGACACCGCGGGCCTATACATATATATATATATATATATAGGTCACACAAGCCGGAGCTCCACTGCAGAAAGGTCTCTGGGGCGGCCCGAAAACCCGAGCGCCTTCTGAGCCCGGAGCGAGCGCTTTCTTATCCGGCGTTTCGACATTGAGCGGAAGGGGGGGGGAAGGGGGGATTGGCTCCGGACCTCTGCTCAGTGCGACTGTTTGCAGCGGTGCGTGCTTTGGGGGAGACTCCACCTGCTCAAGACAGGCGCCAGAAACAGCCAAGATCTACTTCAGGGGTGGGGGGGGAGAGGGCCTGCGAGGGCCCGCGCCGACCGGCAAGAAAATGAAGAAAACGACGGCCTCCAGAGCCCGAAGCGGTTCTTGCTTCAGCGTCTGGGCTGCAGGTGGAGGAGGAGGAGGAGGAGGAGGAGCAGGAGGAGGAGGAGGAGCAGGAGGAGGAGGAGGAGGAGGAGGAGGTGCTGTAGCTTCGCGGTGCGCGACGCGCGATGATATCTTCGCGCCCTGGAGATACGATGCCTCTCCAGCTCCAGGCCGTGAGGCGCGGAGCGAGGTGACCTTCGCGCCCCTGGGGGTGACCCAGCGCCAAAGAGGGCAACTGACCTACAGCGAAACCCGCATAGTAAGGATGGCAAGCCTTCCCAAGGGTACCCTTGCATCATTGGCCCGTCCGCCCACCCTTGGCCACTTTCGATGGCCGCGCCCCGCTGGAAAAGCTTCGAGGTGGCCTTCCGAGGCCCCTGCATCCTCATCGCGCATCCTCACATGATACGGGTTGACTGTAACCACCAGGATCTCGGCATCTGAATGCGAGTCGGGTTCTTCTAGCAGCGCAGGGATGTATACACAGGTCTGGAGCGCTGTGCTTCAGTACACTGGAAGGTCAGGGGGGATCCCAGGATTGCCGAAGAGGTCCACGGGGCTCCAAAACAGAGCGACAAGCTGGGGACACCTCGGGCCAGGCCCACTGGCAGCACCCGAACAGGGTGCGAGGCGGGAGCTCGTCGGAACCATCCCACGGCATCCTCGCGCCGTGCAGAGCAGACCACGACGGGAGGTCCCTGGCAAGCTTACCCCGGGACTGGCAACAAATAGCGGGCCACATGCGAACCCTACCCCTACCCCCACGATTTCTGAGGTGGAGGGTGGGGTTCACTTCACTCGGGAGCTCCCGAACGAAGTGAACCCCACCCTCCCCCTCAGAAATCGTGGGGGGTAGGGGTAGGGTTCGCATGTGGCCCCCTAACAAAAACAAGTTCCGTCCCTGCGAAGAGGTCCACCCCTCTGGGGAGCCACGTGGCGGAACGGATGCGACGCGGGATGCCTGGGTCCGCCTGGGGGGTCGACCTCCGGCGGCTCCGGCGGGCGATGGACACGTCGGTAGATCTGCTCGCGCCACCCAAGGGGGGCGAATGTCTATACACAAAGGGCGCGTGTGTGCCATGTGTGTTATGTGTGTGTGTGTGTTATGCGCTGCGTGTGTATGCTACGCGTTGTGTGTTGTGCGTGCTGTGTGTGAGTCCTATGGATGATGTGGGCTCTGAATGTTATGTGTGTTACGTGATATCTATATATATATAAACAAATAGGTGTGTGTGTGTGTCGTTGTGTGCGTTGCTTGTGTTGGTTGTGTTGTATGTTGTGTGATGTGTGCTGCGTGTGCGTGTGTGTGTGATCTATATGTGTCCTGTGTGTGTCGTGCCGTGTCGTGTTGTGTGTTATGAGTGTTGTCTGTGCTGTGTGGTCTGCTTGGTGTGGTGTGTGTGTGTGTGCGTTCTGTGGATATTTGCTGTATGCATGTGTGCGTGTGTGTGTGTGTGCGCGTGTGCGTGTGTGTGTGTGTGTGTGTGTTGCACGTCGGGGCTCAAGTTTGGGAGGATGTCCCAGGCGACAATGAATCATTCGAAACATTGTTTTAAATAAGGGCTGGATGTTTGGCGGGTTTATCAGGAGAATCTGAATGTTTAGAATAACCGGGATCAACCTCATTGAAACCCAATATGTTTGAGAAACGTATGTTAACATTTAACTCGAGAAGAACGCTCGGGTTTTGGACCGGAATGCCTCGATCTTCGTGAGGGATGCGTCCGTTTTCAAAGAGTTCGAAGATATCCCGAACGAGACGGCCAGACAAAACACTCGGAGTTTCATCGATGATCGTTTTCGAACTCTAATCCCTCAGACACTCGTACGTATTTGAGTATCCAACTATAGATCGATACATGCATACGTAGATGTGTACACAAGGCGTACATATAGATGTATACAAGCTATTCCCCAAACAGTGTTTGCACCTAGGGGGTCCTACTTGTCTTTTGTTCTTATGCAGTGGGCTCATGTGTCGGGTGCGCCGCCCCGTTGCCGCCGTCGCCGCCTCGCCGCCCGACTTGTTGGGCTCATTTGTCGGGTCCGCCGCCCTGTTGCCGCCATCGCCGCCCCATCGCCGCCCCGTCGCCGCCTCTTCGCCGCCCGCGGTCTGGGCTCGCTTGCCCGGGCGCGCACGTCGGGTCCGCCGCCTGTCTGCCGCCGTTGCCATCCCGTCGCCGCCCCGTCGCCGCGTCCCGTTGAACCCCCCCGCCGTTGCAACCCGAGCGGTTGCAACCCCACCGGCTGCCATCCAATCCAGTCCTAAGCCAATCGATTGCATTACGATCGATCGATGCTCCTGTCTCTCTGAAAGAGAGATTTCCGATTCCGATCCACCCCCCTCCAGGACTTCTCGGTCCCCCGTGGGAAGCGCAATTTGCATACGATTTTGACCCATCGTCCACTCGTGGCTTGAATTCGTCCCATCCGAAGCAGGCCAGCATCCCCCCTCATCCGTTGCGAAAAATGCCATGCGCACGCATTCGTATACCAAACATTCACCAAATTTCAACAATACCAACAATGCCCCGGCAAAAAACGGTACAAGTGCACACGCGCGCGTCGACGCGCGCGCATGCCGAAATCGTTTGGAACCACTGGGTTTCATAAGGACGTCAAAATCGACTGCCACGAACACATATATAAAACGCACTGTTCCGCACCAATGATTTAGGAAAACAACCTGCGGTCGCACTCTTGCTGCTTTTCGCGGAATACCATAGGTTGACAGCAAGTTCATAACATGGGTTCAAGCGGACCTCTCGCGCGCGCATGTCGAAAGCATTCGAACGCCTTTTTGTGCGCGTGTCGTCGCAAGAACCCATTTGCAATCTATGGGGCGAAAGGCGCGCGCGCGTCGTCGCACGCGCATGTCGGAATATTTTGGGTAACAAGTTTAGGTTTCGTCTGGATTGCAAGAAGCGCCCCGAACACATATAAGAAACATGGTTTTCACACCGCATGTTAGTTCCATTTAGTGTGAGAGACGTGTATCGCGTTTACGTTTTTTGTATATACATCCCCAGGACGAAAGTTTTTTCCTCTTGGGCCCGGAACGACGGTGTGAAGTCTTGATCAGACCCATATGAAATAACCGCCGTCGGATCTCATGAAGCTCGTGCGGATCCAAATGTGGTTTTGGTGTTTGTTTCGGTGGATCCGATTCCCGTCCGTACGGATCCGATTTCGGATTCGCTGGATCCATGTCCGGTCTTATTTTTTACGGCGGATCCGCTTTCTACCTTGTTTTAAATTTATATTATTAAATTAAACCAGGGAGCCGGAAGAAATCGGATCCGCGGACCCCGCAAACCGCCCGTGTTAAGATTCTGTGTCGTCTCGCGCACTCCCATCCATTCCCCGCGCGAGCGGGCCCCATTCAACATGAATACATACATGCATCCCCCCCCCCCCCCAATTGCTGCAAACAGCTCGTCTGGTCGCCGTCCGTTCGGCGGCGCCGACGTTGTCTCGCGAACTCCTCATGGCCATTTTCACCTCAAAAGGAAAATCTTTCGTCCTGCGTAAGTAAGATATGCGCGCGCTCTTGCGGATTCTCATGCAACCATCGGACTTTGAACAGTGTCATAAAATTATGCCAGCCCGGGTTTTCGCGCCGCGTGCCGAACTTATCCGAGCGCCCTTGCGCGGGTGCTAAGGGAGCACGATCCGCGTCAAATAACACCGCGCGGGCCACTCGTGCCCGCTGGCCGCGCGTGCACGTCGAACTCCTTCCTTCTCAAACCTTCACCGCCGACGCGACGACCTCGTCAGCGTTATCGGCGGGCGTGGCGCCGTCAATGGCATTGCCGTCGTCATCGCCACCATCGTCATCATCGTCATCGTCACCATCATCATCATCATCATCATCATCATCATCATCATCATCATCATCATCATCATCATCATCATCATCATCATCATCGCTATTCCCACCATCGCGTCTAACGTTGCGGCGTCGCCGCGATGCCGCGCCCACCCATGTCACCGGCTCGCACTCAAGTGCTCGCTGGGAAGCGCCCAGCAAGCGCCACCGCGACCGCGTCGCGACGCACTAGCTGGCCGATGCGCGCGCGAGCACGCGCGGGCTAGCGCGGCCGCAGGGATGCACCAGCCAGCGCCAAGCACTCATCGCATTCGCTGGAAAGGCGATGGCGCCAACAGTGGACTGTACAACTCACTGCGAACATGTTCGAATCGACCATCCCCCCGACTTATCAGGACCCCCTGAGGACGTGCAGGGCACGTGCGGTTCTGCCCCAAACGCGCACTTGACCCGCGAATTCACACAAATTTCACCATCCCAGGTTCGGCCCCCCACCCCTCGCATTCGTCAAACAATACTTCGCGCGCGCACCATTCATCAACCAACACTAAACTGCACAGCCCCATTGCGACCAAAAAAC